TCACATAGGTCAATATTACATAGCTTATATCACATTTTCATGAAATCATATACGATGAAATGTAATACATAGATCATGTAAAACAATGCATTTAACATGTAGACATATGCTTGTATTCATGTACACATAGAAACATATCAATAACATACTAGTATTCATGAACTCATAACATCGAAACATTGGAAATAGACTCATCGCAAGTCTACTTTCCATATAGCAATATATCATAATAGTATCACCTTAGCCTCACTTAGTCAAAGCACAACTCATATCTCTCTCCTGATCAGTCTTATATCTTCGATTCGTCTGGAACTTGTATTCGTTCGATATCTACACAAATATATGATCTAAATGAATATTGGAGTTCAAATTACTATTACTCAATCATCATTTACTTAAGTTGAACGAAGCACTTAATTCAATTTTTTAGTATAAATAGTATCGGTACCTTAGACCCAGTATTGATACTTCCTCACTATGGTATTGATACTATACTTCAGTATCAATACCTATTCTATATTATGGAATTCTTCTTCTAAAAATGGTACCGATACTTGTCCATTAGTATCAATACCCTTGGTATCGATGCTACTCCTTTGGTATCAATATTTTCCTATTGATTCGTACAATTTCACCATATGGTATTGATATTGTTCTTCCAGTATCGATACCCAAACCCATATATCACCTATTTTTGCTTTGAAGTATCGGTCTTGTTTATTCAATGTCGATACCCCTTACCCAGAACTTACTCATTTTAACCTAAAAATTAACCAAAACTTACATAAATTTCCCCCTTTACTCTGCTTATAAGTTTTTAAACTCAACTACAATTATTCAAATCAACTTACATCACTTTAACACATCTAAACATCTAATATCTCACTAGAACATTTGGAACCAAAAATCATACCAATTATTCAACATGTCTCAAAACCATATCTAACACTTTAGATTTCTTATTCCAGACTATGACAAGTCAAATATGGTTTCAAAATTTATTTACTAACTCTTTCTCATCAATTCACTCAAAAACCCTTTTTTACTTAATCACTCATAACTTATCCATCTTTTAGTTTTTACTTCCCTTAAAGCTTGTTTAAGCTTTACTAACACCCTAAGAATCAAAACCAATCATAAATTACAAGAAATAACCAAGTTGAGCATTCTTTACCTTAGCTATGGAGACTCACGTTGTAGAGGATGAAGAAAGATGAAGAAAATTTCGGATTTCCTTTTACCCCTTCTTTTCTATTCCACGTGGACATATAATACCCAAGGAATGAATTTTAAATTCATTTCTTGTCAAATGACCATTATAACCCATCTATCTCTCAATCTTTATTAAACAATCCTACATAAAGAAATTCTAATTAAGTCCCTAAACTTTTCAATTTATCACATTTTAATCACCAAGTTTTAAACGCTTACACTTTGGTCACTAGCTCGGTATTTGGGATGTTACAAATCAATCGAGACGAAACTTTTAAAATCATTTAAAAATTAATTTTTTTAAAAGAAAAATCATTTCGACAACATGCATCGATAAATTTTTAATCTTTAATTAAAAATACAACTATTTTGCATTATGTCATAACACGCACATAAAAAACAATCATTCCAAGAAATTAAAAAAAACACGTATATATTTTATTAAGATAAAGCAGCTTTTAACGATAGCACATCAAGTTTTTGATATTTTTAGAACTATAAGACCAAATTAAAAGGAAGTAAAAAAATTCATACCTAAAAACAAATAATATGATGCATAAAACAATCTCAAAATCCTAATAATAATTATTTTTAATTCTAATAAAACTGAGAACAATGTTGTTTGAGTCGATAAAGAAAATATCTATATCGCACAAAGATTACATCACAAATTTCATCCACTACCCAAATAGCATCACAATAATTTTTATCAACCTCCATGAAATCATAATATGTTGATGCTGCTCTCCAAATCTTTTCAAAGCACCCATTGTTGTAACTCTCCATCGAACACCAACACTGCTTTTCTCTTCTCACAAAATATGAAAAATATATTGGTACTTCGAAAATGTTCAAGGAAGTCGATGAAATTAGGCTAACCTAAGTCGTTGCTGGTGGTGCTCCATTAGATGAATTTGATTTAACCACAATTGGTGGATTTTGGGGCTCTGGGTTTGATTTCATCCCTCGTGATGGTGGTGGCTGCAATGGGTTAATTTGGGATGTGGAGGCGATAACAAACAATTATAAGTATAATGCGTAATACATGTTGAATTTTGATAGATTGTATTGTAGGTAGCACGACCAGTACTACATTTCGATTCTGCATCCCCTATATATAACATGGATGTAAACAACACCAAAACTAACAATAAATCTCGCACCATCATTTTCTTTTCACTTCTCACACTCTTTTCTATTTCCAACATTACTATAACTTAAGTTTGTATATGTAACTTTGCTTTTATATACCAAAAGTACAAGATGTATAATCTATCTAAAATGTTATTTCTTTTTTTAAATTTTTAAATTGAACATTATAAATTAGGTTTAAGATAACAATTTGATATCACTCTTTCATTTAAAAATATTAACTAAATTTGTCAGTTCACTACCCATATGTTTCTATGTATAACATTTTTTAAATTTTTTAAATTAATATCAGTTACAAGTTTAAGTATAATTAAATTATTTTTTATGTTTTAACAATTAAGTTTAAACATGTACTTTTAATGATAATCTTTTTTTCCAAATAATCTTATAGAATGATTTTACTAAATCTGAATTTTGTTTAGTTAGTTGAATATTTTTTTAGAGAATACTTTAAAATGATTGTTATAATAAGTTGTTAGAGATTTTACTAAATTTTATTTTATTTATTTAAATATAATTTATTAAGAAATTATTTAAAATGAAAAGATTTTTGAAATATATTTAAAATGATGAATAAGATATATTTTTAAGGAAAATTTTTAAATAATAATTAAGAAAATATAATATGAATTATTAGATTATACTTTCAATCTTTGTATAATCTAATAAAATCTTAATCATCATTGTTCATGGGTTAAAAATAATAAAATATTTAGAATCAATTTCATTTTATTGTATTTCGGCATGATTTTATTTCTTCTTTCGGTTGATTTATATTTTAAAGCTTTGAAATTTTCACATATATTAATTACTGAGATTCGAGAATGCAAGGTAAACATAAACCGTATCATGAAATTCATACTTAGAATGTCAAAATTAACCCTTAATGTTTGTTTGAATAGTTTTTTTGTCCATATACTTTTTTGAAAATTACTTTAGAAGTAAACGTTTTTAAGTTAAAATGATCCTTTTTTTTATTGAAATTATTAGTTAACTAATGTTAAATATGTGTTTTTGATTTGAAACATCATCTCCCGTGTCCACAGTGTTAGCGTTATATTATCAAATTGTGTAGAGATTATATTTCCTCTTGGATAGCCATCAATCATTTACTCGAGTCTTCACCACTAATTATCTTTGAGTATGTTGATGTTTTTTACTAATATTTATTCCCTCCGCAACGTTTAACGCATAGGTAACTAGATTGATCACTAAATATCTATATAAACGTTTGCTTTCCCTTTTGAATTTGTTTTAAGCAATAAATAAAATACTATGATTTTGATTAGGATTAATACAAAAATAAGTGATTAAATAATGCTTCGAAAACATTTTGGTGCCTAAAGAAATTTTTTATTAAAAATAGATACCTAATATTTTCTCAATTATACTTTTAGGTGACTACCGTTATATTTTTTATTTTTTTACATTTTTTTAATAATAAAAATATTATTTTTAAAAAAACTTTAAAAAAACTTAATTTATTTATAAAACACCCAAACGTTTAATGAAATTATAAAAAAAACTCTTAAAAACTAAAATATCTCATTTCAACCCCATTACCAACCGTCGCCGGTCATCTCCGGCTACTATCGTCGTTGAGAACTTGGATTTTGGTCGGAATTGCACGGTGGTTCGAATGGTGGTGGCAGTGTGACTTATGGACCTCGGGATCAACCAGAATCGATGAAAATGATAACGGATGTTTAAAATCTGACGAACGTTTGAATGCTTCTCTACAGAAAATGATGACACTTTACGATGAAAGACTAATTGGAGTTTGATCGATGATCGACGCCGATGCCGATGAAGGTGGCGGTGACAGTCATGGACGGCCGGTCGACGACAATAGAAAGAGAAAAGTGGAAGGAGAAAGGGGAAGAGGGGAGGGGGACGCGGGCGACTGTTTGGTTTTTTTCCTAATAAAAAATATTTTATTTTTTATTTTTTATTTTTTAAATAAATTCTTAAAAATATCAGAATGTGACATATGTCACTTAACGGTCAAATTTAACGGCTGTTATGGTCCAGATACCTAAAAATCTCTGATGAAAACGTTAGACGCATATTTTTAATGAAATTTTCTTTAGGCACTAAAACGTTTTTCGAGACAAAATTTAGGCACTTAATATTTGTATTAAGCATTCTGATTATGACAAAAATATCTTTGGAAGAAATATGCCTCGAAGGCATTTTTCAAATCAAAAATTTCTTTAAGAGGGTTGGTTCAAATGGTAAGCAGCTTGATATCGTTTAAACATGTCTCGAGTTCGAGTCCTTGTGTATGCAAAGAATTCCCGCTCGGAAACTCACTCACCATAACCAGATGTACGATTCAGATTGATCTGATTTAGTCAAGGGAAATCCTTGAGAACCGAAATATATAGTTCTTATGTTCTATTGTATGCGACAGACAATATTTGATAAATTGTTACCCTTCATAAAACGAAATATTAAATTAATCTGACTATTGAACAATTAAAAATTTTATTTTTTATTTTTATTTAAAATAAATTATCATTTTGTTAATAATTTAAATCTTCAAATTAGTATATTTAATTTTTATCTTAAAATATATAAAATACTAAATTAATAAGATTAAAATTATGAAACTATGTTCATGCACAAGCTAAATATATGCAATAGGTTAAAATACAACTCCCTCATTCTCTTTATGGAACAGCAGTGAAGTTGAAGTTATTGCAAGAGGTCCTGAAAAACAGCAGGGAAGAGATAAAACCCAGCCTTGACCTTGCCAGATCAAATTGTAGAAGATTGTTCTCCATTTGGTAAGCTCCGATAACGATCGAAGCTCGAGTGTCGAGTCCCCCATCAACAAAGGCTAAGCATGAGACTCCCGGTGCAGCTTCGACCACAGAGTTCGATCCGGAAATCCTCCATACAACATGCTGGTCATGCAGCACTAGGTCTATATCAGGGATGCTCGATCCGACCCTGCTTCCTTTGTTAATACTTTTTGAATTGAAACAAACACCAAATGGTTCCACCGGATTTACGGGGGGGATGCCTGAGAGCTCCTTGGTGAAAAATTCGGTGACTGATTTGAAGATCGAGTGTTGAAGAATGGTGTAAGGGTTGACTGTGCTGAGCTTCGTGCCCCCAAGGCCTTGTCTATCGACCAATAACAGAGTTGCGTTTATCGGAATGTCATTGTTGTTTATTTTGATTGATTTCACTTCTATGTAGTACTCTCCTTGTGGACTTATGATCAGTGGTGTGTAGCTTAAAGGGCGTGAAATATCAATACCAGGATGCATATAATAAGGACCACCCCCAAAGAAAATGACCCCATTAGTTGATAGGCATAAGGTGAATGTCGGGGCAAAGCCGGCAAATCCGAAGTACGAGGCGAGTTGAGTGGATAAAGAAATCGGCGAATGCCCCAATCCAACCACCCCTTGAACGTTCCCTGGTAAGACAGTTTGCAGTAAAACAGAAGGTGCACAAGTGAACAAGAACTGAGGTATCTTAACAAGGGGACCGAGGTTAGACCCTGGGGTGGAATGAATTGACAGAACATCTTGTGCAAGCTCACCCATGGAGGTTAGGCCTGTCACAGGGTTCACCGACACAAGCCCACACGTGTTGTTGTGGCACCCCGGTCTGGCCTTGGAGGAGCAACTGTGGCAATCGTGAGCGTCGGCTCTAGCACATTGAGTCGAATGGCACCGAGGAGCACGGTACGTGGACGAGAAGTAGTTTTCTTCACAAGTAACCCACAACGACCTCCCATTCAAGTCCACAACAAATGGGATTTGCAATGGTGGAGTTCTCTTATAAATGTCTGCAACATAGAGATTGGTCTTGTCATCTTGGTGTACCGGCAAAACGAACTTATCCGGCTTCGAAGTTGTTCCAGATTCAGATAGAACGGTGACATACAAGACTGAAAGAAAGCTGAGAAGGAAACGAAGGGAAAAAGAAGCCATTGACGAAAGAAAAAGGTTAAGGGCCAAGGAGATAAAAGGTAAATTTAGTTATTTATAGGCAATTTAGTTCTTAAAAGCATTGCTCATGTGAGGCATTGCTCATGTGAGAGTTTAGGCGTTATTTGCATATGAAGCCTCAAAATGAGTGCTTGGAAAAGCAAGTACACATGCTAAACCTGACTTTGCCTGGAATCAGATGTCATTGCTGTTTTACCGGGCGTATTTACCGAAAATTCACATAATTTTTTTATTTATGAGCCCGACACTATTAGAGAAAATATTATCGATCTAACATCTTTTGTAGATATAACATGTGGCGTCACATCGCGAATCATCATTTGTGTCTTTCTGCCAACCTGACACACGTGCCAGAAAGATCCACGCCTTTCATTTAATTTTCAGTCATTCACACTCCAATTAATGATACATATCCACCCAAACCCCATCCCCAACCTATAAATACCCCCTCTCAACTATTTTCACCACATCAAATCCTCTCAAACCATATAAAAAACCAAACCTTCTTAAAGCTATATACCGGTCAAATTTTATTTAGAATGTAATATATTATATTCTATTCTATTAAATTAATATTTTAGTACTTTATTAAATTATCTTATATTATATTTTTATAGTAATAAAATGGAATGTGATCTACTTCGTTTAAATGGAAATCATATCTCGAGGTATTTTGTTGATACGGTAATATTTTTAATTTTATTTTAATTTAAATTATTAGTAATAATTTATTTATTATTTATTTATTATTAGTTTATATATTAATTTTGTAATATTATTAAATTAGGAGAGAGACATTATATTATATCATTTTATCCGCAACCTTAAGTTAGAGTTATCAATCCGTGTCTGGCCGTATTTAGTCGAGGCTGGATTCGGTTACGTAGCTAGATATGAAGGCCAACTGTAACGTAGAATCCAACATGATTTATGTATTAGTCAAGCGGTGGAGACCAGAGACACACACATTTCATCTTCCGTGCGGAGAGTGCACGATTACGCTAGAGGATGTTTTCATGCACTTGGGGCTTCCTATAGATGGAGATGTGCTTTCAGGGGTGGCACACGGTAACTGAAATTCATTGTGCCAGGAATATCTAGGAAGTTTCCCGCCAAATTTTAACGGTGGTCGGATTCCGTTAAATTGGTTGGATGCAAATTTCAAGAATTTGAGTGAGGACGCCTAGGAGGATCATGTAAAAATGTATGCACGGGCATGTATACTACAGCTGATAGAAGGGCTCCTGATTCCGGACAAATCGCGCAACCAAGTTCGATGTATGTGGTTGCAGCATCTCGCCGATTTTCATCTGGTTAGAACACTAAATTGGGGATCGGTAGTTTTGACATTCATGTATCAAGAAATGTGTCGAGCTACTGACTATAGGAAAAATGTTATCGGCGGATGTCTCCTTCTACTGCAGTCTTGAGCATGGTATCGCATGGTCTTTTTATGTCCGGTTGTGAAGAACTCATTTGTATTTCTGTTATTATTGAGGTAATTACAATACTGATTTCGTATATTAATCATTTTATCTAGTATATAATAAAATTTATTTCATTGAATAGGTGGTCTACTACAATGAAAGATCATCGGGATTTACCTGATGAATTAGAATTAATTAGGCTACTAATTGATCAGAAGGCTGACAGTGAGGTATGTATTTAAATGTTTGAAAATCTATTTTGTATTTTCGTTATATAATTAGATTATTATTTTGATAAGAATTATATATATTTGTTTTAGTTTGAATGACCTCATTATTGTACTGATGATATGAGGATTTACATACCACATCCACTGATCGAGTGCTCCGGTAATTTGGTTTTGTACAATCAATTCCAGAAGCACCTCAAAATTTCGACGAGTTGCATAACACCGATCGAAGCGGTAAAAAAAGATATGGATTGGCTGCTGAAGCATTATGAGTGGGTCATGATATGGGAGGATCGACGTCTGCGCATTCCCTATAGAGAACCCATTTATGTATACCATTTGACGGTTGCAGATGGTTATTACTAGTGATTCAACAGTAGCAGGAAACTGTTCCTGCTTTCCGAGGAAGCAAGAGGAGCGAGCATCCATCGACGTCGACAGAGACGTCCACCGTCACAACCCCATCGTCCCTCGACTCGTGGACAGAGAGCATGTGTTTCAAGTTCGTCGTTAGCTGTAGTATCGGAACCTTCACAGCATCCACTATCTGCAACGATGTACACCCCGCAGCCAGTTCATATTGGCTCTGCAGCCATATCAGATGCCACCACCGCCGTTCCCATACCAGATGCCGCCACCGCTCCAGAGTTATATGACCCCTCTTAGAGGATATTATGGTTCTATGTTTGTAGATATAACTTGGGGTTCATATGCTAGTTATTTGGCAGGTTCAGCCTCACCACCGATGGTCGCCGCACAGACACCTCTTGTACAATTTTCTCACTCATCGATGTCTATCTTTTCTCAGTTTTCCCAGTTTTCTATGAGCGGTGGGATAATCAGTCATACACTTCCAGGGTCCTTATTTTATGGAGGTGCTACATCGTCATCAGTTCTTCATCAACAAAATGTATCTGCTCCTAATGACGACGATGACAATGATGATGATGATGATGACGGTGAGGAGTCAGAACAAGTTATACGAAGAAATCCTCCTCGAGACAGAGAGTCATCACCCTACGAAACACATTTAAGAATCAGGCATCAATAGATTCATATATTTTATTTTATTTGTATTTACTTGTTTGTTGGACAAATAATTGTAATTTTTTTTAATTATTTGTCATTTAATACTTAAGTTATTTTGTTAATTTTGTTTATTACTTAATTCAAGCAAATAGTTTTATCATTTAGTGTTTTTTTATCAAGCGAATGATTTTATTTTCTGGCGCGATACGCGTCTTACCACACGTGGCGTCACATCAGCATAATGATCTGAGCCTTTCTGTAAATGATGCTAGATCAATAATATTTTCTCTAATGATGTTTAACACATAAATAAAAAATAATTTTTCTATAAATACACCGTTTTACCATTCATATCTATAAACGTTACATCACCACCTAAAAGCCCTTTTATGTAAATTTCATCTTGTACTTTTTATTTGCCATATGGGTAGTTTCATGGGCAAAGAAAGATGAAAAACCGGTTCTCGCGCATTTCACAAGTAGGCTCAAATCTGATGTTGTGACCGGAACAAATTAAGTTAAGATAATTATTCCGAATATCAATTGATCGATCAATGAGTTAGATGCAAATAATTATACCATGAAAAGAAGATGACTATACTACAACTCCACTTGGGTTTCCATAGCATAAAATGGCTAATAGAAACTAGTGGCAAAGATAGGTCATGGGCTCATAGCATAAAAAACTAAACACAAATGGAACATCAACAAGTATGAAAACAGTCATGTTGTAAACTCAAAAAGTAAAAGTTGGGTGCCTCTTCAAATTAAATAATTGAAGATTGCAATCATTGGAGATAATTTTGCAGTCAAAAGCTTGGAGAAAAATGGAGCATGATGGGGATTGATGCCTAACATTTTTTTTTAATTTGAAACCAACAATTCACGTAGAAATATATTTGGGGACACCTTTTGAGAAAAAAGCAAAACTAAAACTATATCTATTCATCATTTATACCTCAAACTTTTACCTAAATTTTCTTCTACATTGTCCATGGACTTGAAAAAGAGGGTTTGGCGGAATTTGACTATAGGGAAAACTAAATATTTCCCTTGCAAGCTTTTGTATGAAGCACCCTAGAGCAAGCCAAAAAAGAACAATGGGAAAAAAAACATCACTAATACTGGGAAAATTTTACATGATACTGCAGCTGTTTGCGTTCTCATCACTGAAGTAATGAGCATACGATTCGGAGTGGGGGGGATGCATCGGCGGAGGGCCGTAGCTTGCTTGGGGAGGATATGGTTGAGCATACATCATTGGCTGATACATTCCCCCATTTGCTCTCTGCTGGTTCATCATCATGGCAGCCATATACTGAGGCTGATTATAGGGATTCCCTGGCCCCATCCCTTGATAATACCCACCACCATTGTTCATTGGTGGTGCTGGTGCTGGTGCTGGTAGTCCTTGTACTGCAGCAAAGTTGCCCATCTGGTTCATTGGATAATTCCCCATTTGGCCCATGTTAAAGCCCATTTGGCCCATCTGCCCCATATTCTTGCCTCCATTGCCGCCTCCGTGGCCACCACCAGGGGCGGCACCCCCACCCCCACCCCCACCACCTCCTTTGCCATGATTAATAGCATCAATGTCTTGAAACCCACCACTCTTAATTTTGTTCATCATCTCATGGTGACCCCCACCACCACCATTTTTGCCCCCACCTTTTTTAGCTCCATTGCCATTATTGTTCCCACCACCACCACGACCTCCATTTCCATTATGAGAAGAGCCCTTATTTTTATCATAATCATCCCAATCGTTTTTACCCTTCTTACTAGAATCTTTTCCACCTTTATCCTTCTTGAAAAACCCAAGTAAACCTCCTCCCCCACCCCCTTTTTTACCACCATGTTTATCACCTCCTTTGTTCTTTTCCCCACCTCCTTTCTTTTTGCCTTCTTTGTTCTCCCCCATGCCTTTCATCACCATGGGCATATCAATAGCTCCACCTTTCTTCCCATTATTCCCACCACCACCTCCGTTTTTACCATTCATGGCATGGCCATTAATCATACCATTTGACCCCCCATGGCCTTTTCCCATCATAGCCACCATCTTGTTTTGCATTTGCCCTTGGCCATGTCCATGACCATGACCAAATTCCTCATCATCATCATAATCATCATCGTCATCATCAAACTCATCATCAAATTCATCATCGAACTCATCATCATAATCATCATCACTCCCATCATCCTCGGGCAAGTGAAACTTGACAGATTTATGGTCTTTGGGAGGGTTAAACCCTTTCATCATCTGCTGCATATCTTGCAGATGCTGTGGTGCAAATTGCAGCCCACCTTTCTGCTGGTTATTTCCACCACCACCACCACCGCCTCCACCTTTTTGAGATTTGTTGTCTTTCCCACCTTTGCCACCATCCATACTCATGTTCTTGAACTGGTTGGGGAAATTATTTGGACCCCCCTTTTGAGCAACACCCCATAACTGTGCATGTTTCCCTGATTTCTGCAGCTTCTTGATGAGAACAGCCGGATCGACATTACCAGTCACTGTCACCTTCCCTTGATCTGCATTTATACTAGTCGTATACACCCCTAACCAAAACAATAAACAAAATAATCAATAACCCAGAAAGGAAACTCGAATAACTAGCTAAAAGATGAACATTTAACTACAAATTACCATCAATTTTCTGCAGCAGCTTCCTTATTTTCTGCTTACACCCATCACAGCTACACTGTATATTCACTTTGAGAACCCATGTCTGAAAACAAAACACAACCAGAAACAGTGTTGAAAATCAACTAAAAAACATTATTTTTCCCAAAAAAAAAAATACCCTCAGGCGAACTAATTAAGTTAACAGTACCTGCATCTTCATGACATCTTGTTTATTCATCCTTCAAGGAACAGAGAGAGAAAAAGAAAATATCCAAGAGAAGTGAAACTTTTGGTTCTTTGTCCAGTTAAACAAGGAATTGGAAAGAAAAAATAACCTTTTGCTACAAGGTTTTAAGAAAGCATGTACTAGTAGAGCTTAAAGACGGTCGTTGGGGCATTAAAATGCTGCTCTTTTAGAGAAGAAAGCAAGGAGAAAGAGAGAGAAATATAAGGCTAAGGCGGTTCAGCAGAGGAGTTGAAGGTATCTTCAAGATTTAAATATATATAAAAAAGAGCAAATTAAAAATAAATAAACAATGAAGAATAGCTAGCTAACTAGCTATATCTCAGGGAGCTTGACAGTGTGAGCTATCGCTAAGATCAGTTGGCTTGGCTTTATACTATTTCAAGTAATTTACAGCAAATTTCAAGTTTTAAAATAAAAATTAAAGAAAATTTTAATTATTGTGCCAAAGTGGAACACTTAGGTTTTTTAATTTTTCAATAAAAAATTTACTTTTTAATATCTTTTAGGGTAAACTACATATTTTGTATCTAAATTATTACTTTTATTCCATTTTGGTACCCCAAACTTTATTTTTTTCTTCAAAATCATACTTAATATTTAGTTTAGGTTTTATTTTAGTACTCCGTAGTTAAAACTTAACGGTGATGTTGATGTGTCATCCTAAGGTAATGTCATGTCATAATTGGAAAAAAATCATGTCAGTAGTTCTATTTATTTTGTAACGTTAGGTATGATTTTAAAAAAAAATTAAAATTTAGATATATTAAATATATAATTTACCCTATCTTTTATGTTTCTCTTAAGGTTCAATAATATTATCTTTCAAATGTAGATTTTCTCTATAAAAGTCTTCGAATTTATATTTTATTAAATATTATTATATTAACAATTAGAAGATTAGTACGATGAAATATTAGATCCTTTAAGTAAGGTTAAGCGTTTGAATTTTGTTATTTGTAAACGAAGTGAACTAGATTAAGAAAATTATAACATAGTGGCTTATGCAAAATTTAATTTGTAATAATTGATCAATAGATTGAATACCAATAATCAAAAGTCTAAATCTCCACCAATCCATATTTATTTTGAGTTGAACAAATAATTTTAACAAAATAGAAGGATTAAAATCAAAATTTGAGCATTTTAAATAGTATGATGCTTTTGTAACCGTATAAGTCCAATGGAAGTTGGTTTAAGTGATAAGTAACTTAATATCGATTAAGTAATTTTCGAATTTGAATCATTGTGTAAGTAGAAAGTCCTTACTAAGAGAATTATTCATTAAAATCAAGTGTATAATATGGATCGATCTAAATTAATCCGGACAAAACTCTGGAAATAAGAAGAAGAAAAAAGTCGTATAAGTCCAAGGCGAAGCACTGTGTTTGACACTTGTTTGTTGTCAACCAATGGTCGGCGTGGTCCGGTTCGGCCTTTTAGAATCTATTTGATTCACGTAAAATATTTTTCGAAAAATATTTTTCTCACTTTTCAGTATTTAGTTGGAACATATTGGACAATGTAAAAAAAATTCCTCGTCCACATAATTTCCTTTGCATTTTCTGAAAAATGACTTACGGTTTAATTTTTCATAAGTCATTTTCTAAAATTTTCACTTTAAAGCATAAATACTCAAAATAATATTATTTTGTAAATTTAATATTAATATAATATTTTAGTATCATTTTAATAAAAATATTAATTATTAACATGTTAAAAATATATTTATTAATATTTTTAATAATATAATAATATTATTATTACAATAATATACTCAATTATATTATAATAATATATGATACTATTATATTCGTATTTTAATAATATATAATAAATTAGTAATAAAAGTTATATTATTTATTAATTTCTTAAAAATAATATTATTGAATTATTAATAGTGAAAAATTTTATTTATGTATGTAATATTAATATAATAGTCTAATAATGTTATAAAAATTTCTTTAAATATATTTATTAATAATTTTAAAATATAATATACTATTTTTTATTTTTATAGATATTCAATATAATTCATCATATTTTTATTGTAATAGAATATACTAGAGTTAATATTTTTATTTATAAAATTATAGAAATAATATTTTAATAATAATATTGGCATAAATAGTATTAAATAAATTATTATAATATTTTTAAAATAATAATATTAAGTTTTTAAAATAATAATATTAAGTTTTTATAATTAATAATATTATTTATTATATTTTATATTTACAATAAATAATTTCTAAAAAAATTATCAACTAGTGAAAAATAATTTACACAACATCTTCCAAATGCCATGAAATATTTTTCAGAAAATGTTTTTCAGAAAGTATAATTCATTTTACAAAAAATATTTTTTAAAAAATATTTTCAGTGAAACAAACAAACAGCTAGTATTACTGCAGTTTTTGACTTAGACAGTTTCAGTTAAAAATATTTTTTTAAAAATATTTTCAATGAAACAAACATACAGCTAATATTACTACAGTTTCTGACTTAGCTGGTTCGACTTATGAAGCAACTTGCTTAGCTAATTGCACATGCTGTTTTAGTGTTTTTATTTCTATTGAATTTGAATTCTTAAAGCAGATGTTTCAACAGTTCACACACTTTGGACTTTGGATCTTGTAACATGCAAACATAAATATTTTTTTAATTAATCACTTATATTTGATTTATTAATTAATTAATTCAGATAATTGAATTTCTAAACCCTCCGATTAAATTCTTATAACTCTAAAATCAGTCCTAACATTTATTAAAATAATTATTTTGACTTGTTTTTTTTTTCAGATTATTCTCATTTGTTGTATAAATTTTGCCCCCTAAACATCAATGAAATAAAAGAAAACAAAAGAATGAAGAAGATATGATATTATGTTTGGACCCTATCCTAAATGCCAAAACCCATCATCTAATTAAATATTTCAGTGCTTTCCCCAATAATTCCACTTGAATTATGAATTTCCATTCTTATCACATTTACTATTTTTTAAAAATATTATCTTTCATATTAAATAAACTTTAATATTTTCACTTTCTATTGTTGTAGTGGGTGAATGAAATTAAATACAATTCATGGGTAAAGGTGTGTTATCATAAATGTGTGCCCAATCTTGTGAACTCTTAGTTAAATATTTATAATATTTTTTTGATATAATTATATGTCGATCTATTGATCGACTAATTTGAATCAGATATCGTAGAGATAAAAGTGACCCTTCCAATCTAATTTGTTCTATTCGTAAACACCATGATTATATAAGAATTATTAAATGAATTCGATAGTAAAATGTAACATTATTTTTCCTAAAAGTTTAATGTCTAAATAGTTATATTTGCATAATGTGTGTCTTATTAATAATTAAAAAATTAAGAACATATGTTACATTATAATAAGAGAAAATAACCTCAGTGACCGAAAATACCTTATAATATACGATTTTAACCAACTTTTTTTGGATTTGCGAAAATGACCAACAAATTCGCAACGCGAACTCCAATTTTGCAACCCGGTTTCCAAATTCGCAACGCGAATCTGTAAATCGCAACGCGAATTTGTAAGTTGTAACACAGAAGTCAAATTCGCAATGCGATAGTCAAATGCGCAACACTGAAGTCAAATTCGCAACGCGAATCTGTAAATCGCAACGCGAATTTGTAAATCATAACACAGAAGTCAAATTCGCAACACAGAAGTCAAATTCGCAACACAATAGTCAAATTCGCAACGCGATAGTCAAATTCGCAACAGTGAATTTCAAATTCGCAACACAAAAGTTAAATTCGCAAAGCGCGTTTATTTTCGTAACGCGGATTTTATTTTATTTTTGAATTCTAAACACAATATTAATTTCGCAACACAAATGTAAACAGTATTATCGCAAATCATAACCTAAAACCCTAAATCACAACTCAGCCCTATCTCCATCTCTCACTCTCTACGGCGACATCTGTCCCTATCTCCGACGAAATCTGCCCCCATCTCCAGCCAAATCCGTCTATCTTCATCTCTCAGAGCAACCCTCACAACTATCCACGGTCAGAAATGGAAAATCAACCACCGAAAGTTAGTTTTTTTAATCTCTTATTTTTATTTTAAAATTTTTGTATTATTATTAAATTTTTATTATATTAATGATAAATTTACTGGTAATTTCAATATATATAGATTAACCATTTCACTGAGATTGCTAAAAATTATAAAAATTATAAATGATTTAATTTAATTGTTAAAAAAATTATAAATTATATATCATTATAATTAATCATGTATATCAATTAAATGGCAAAAGTTTTACAATAACACTGTAGAATAAAAATTCATTGAATAGTGGGTAACCAAAATTATTTATTTAAATAAAAATTTGTTACAGTATGACTCTAAAAACACTATATACTCTCGACAATTAACATGTGACGCGAGGATCATGTGATTTTGAATAAATTGGGAGAGACGCCAGGATCTCAATGCATCTCCCCCTGAAATTGCAAATGTAGCTTTCAAATGAGGCATTGCACCATGCTAATTGCAATTTGCAATTTGCAATTTGCTAAGTTGGAGCTTATTGGAGATGCATAGCACCCAATGCGGAGAGGTGACGCATGGGGTGCAGCAGGTCTCATAGTGTGACGCAAAGTCCACAATGCGTCTTGGATCCAAATTGTAACAATATCTTATTTTACGAAATAATTTTTGTTCCACATTATTTGAACCATTTTTTCCAAAACATTATTTTAAAAATTTTGCCTCAATTAAATAATCAATATATAACTGATATTTTTTGATAAAAAATTATAACTGATATTGCTGATTATAATTTTTTTTTATAAATATCCCGTACCAATTTATATGTATGTAATATTATATTTTTTATAAAAATTAATTAAACTAATTTCAAATTTAATTGGGCAATCGAGAAAAATAATTGTTTTATTTGTTCACCTTAAAAGCCTAACTTGTGAGAAAAAAATAGTTTATCTTTATTCTCATATGTAATGGGATAAGGGAGAGGTAGGATAGTAGACTGCCCTCAACGTCAGGTTGAGAGCAGCTTCCGTAAGAGGCCTCCGAATTATGAAATGTCTTCCGTTAGACTCAATCTCATGACTCCAAAAATAAAAATTTTATATTCTACCAACTGAGTTGGATGATCAATTTAACTTGTGAGAGATAAAAGTAAATGTTGTCCCCAAAATATCTTCT